ATATTTGATGTAGACTGTTTTGACGAGCAAATTGTTTTGTTATCTTTGATTCCCAATGTATGTCTTGAGAACTTATATTGTAATATTCTTGCCATAATCTTTCTTGAAAATCTTTATGATATAAATTATTGGTAATTTCAGTTATTTCACGAGCAGCATAAAGTTTTTCAGGAGTATTTAAACATTGAACTAATTTGGAAGCATTTTCAATACTTTCAGCTAACATTCGTTTAAATATTCGATCAGATACTTTTAAATAACGTGGTTTAAAATTTTCTAAATAATTCATTTTTGATTCATTATTACCACTGCTAATTTCATCATTTACAAATGCTGTTGCAGTTGTTGTTGTTGGTTTGGTTTTCTTAGCATTTTCTTGTGATATTGATAATTGACTAAAAGATTTATCAAGTATCGATGTTGCTTCAGCTGTTGTTGTTTTGGTTTTCTTAGCACCTGCTTGTGATATTGATAATTGACTTATTGGTTTATCAAGTATTGATATTGTTTCTGATGTTGGTGTGGGTGTTAATAAAATTCTTTTTCGTTTAGTTCCCATTTCCATACCAGCATTATTATTAACGTTATTTATTTGTGACTTTATCACCTGAATAAAAGATGGTTAAAGACTCTTCTATCATATAATCAATTAAAAACAAAATCATACTTGGTTCAAGCTCATAGAAACTTCAATATTTTTTAAATCATATTCTTCCATTACTTCTTTATCATTTTGTTGTTGTACTTGAGGATGGAACTTTTCTTCAACTAATTTTGCCACTGTATCTGAATCGAAACCTTGATTATAAAGTTGTCGTCGATAACGTTGTCTTTTTCGATTGCCACGACATTTCTTTTTCTTCATTTGATTCTGTTGTACTTGTTGTTGTTTATGTGTTACTATTGTCGGTATGAATGAAACTAAGTGATTTTCATCAGTATCTTGTACATTTTTATGTGTCATTTGAAATGTTCTATCTTTTACATGAGTATTGTCACTCATGATAAGTATATATATCTGAAAGAAAAAACGAAGTTGTGAATTATTACAAACTTAAACTTTCACTTTAGATCTTTTAACGGTTATGACTCAACTATAAATTTGACCTTTAACTTTTAACGTCTATGTTTGGAATTTAAACTTGACCTTTGGCCTTTTAACGATTACGTCTGAAATTTAAACTTAACCTTGGAGCTGCTAACAGTTATAACTCGAATTTAAATTTGGCTTGTGAACCTTCAACCGTTATGACTCGAATTTAAACTTGTGCTTTAACCTTTAACGGTGGAATAGATGCGGGTATAGAAAGAGTATTGGGAGATGGAACTAACATGCGAAGTTTTATATAAAAACGAACACTAAGTTACAAGATAAAAGAAAACAAGCGAAGTGAGACCCAGTACATCATTTAGTCAATATGTTACTTCATTTGTCAACAAACACATAGGCCCATATTAACTTCCGTTCTGATCATTAACCATTTATATATATATATATTCAACGAATGAAAGTCTCATATATGTGCGAACACTTTAATCATCGACAATCAATCATTCACATATTTCATTTCCATAAGACATGAATTATACATGCTATTTTCTTTGTATTTTATATGATACTATCCTGTAACACATGCAAGTTAATCGATTATCTTGTGGCAGCATGGTATATAAGTTAGTGATATCAAAAGTACAGAAAAGAGTTGATGATTTAAGATGACCATCAGCAGCATATTTTTCGAGACGTTTGATAAGATTCACACCATCAATAATTGTATT